GTTACATTTCAAAATTTGCGATAATCGTGATATTGCCACAACCTCTAGTATGTTGCGTTGTTATTGGACACGTTTAGTGGCCATAACAATCGTTTCAAAATTTTGTTGTTATTGTTATTTTCTTTCGTCATTATCATTAAAAAATCGCTTTTCTCTTCGAATACTGGACCAATTGCTTTGGAATTTTCAGTGATTCAAGATTGATTTTTTTGCCAGAAGGATATTACTTTCATTTATTCATGAATTTTCTATGAATCTTATGAGATCTAATATTTCATCCAAAATTGCGCTGTATTAATTTTTAATTATGGGAACACGGTTTTTAATCCGCCAAGCGTGACGACTGACTGTGAAAATTCTTGCGACTGAACCCGGAACTTTTTGAGGGTACGGTACCGGTAACGTCAAAGGTAAACCCTGCTTCGCTCTTGAGCGTTGCTCTCTTGTTTTTTTAAGTCACTGTTGCTAATAATTAATGATATTTTTTATCTCATGAATATATATTTGAAACTCAGTGATCAGAGATGTTCTTATCGTTTTCGTATAGCGTAATATTCGATTAATATTCCTCAATATTAGTTAATCGTAATTTTTGGGATGCGCATAACATGCGGAGACACAAATATTTCTGTTCCCCCGCGTAGTTCAAAATCGAAATTTTACATGCAACAGCTCCTAAAACAGTAGTCACGATCACGCCATTGCCTACATTTCCAGCGGACAATGATTTTTTAGTTGCAACAAGTATTCAACTCATGACCAATACCTGCATTTAAATTGTGTTTCCATATTAATTGTGTTCAACTTAAATCGTGGTTGCGTCAACTTATTATAATAATAAGGGCACTTTACTTCAATTACTCAATTATACTTTAATTATTTAACTCATATATCATCATGGTCCCCTGCATACGAGAAAAATTCTTATGCCACGGGTACGTCGATAAATTGATTTTTATCGCTCGGAACTGTGCGTCAAAACGCACTTATGCGATCATTGGCGACGTAACGGTAATTGAAGGAAGGAATCTGAAACTCAAATTTCCGACTAAAAATATTGGAGAAAATATTACAACTGAAATACAGAGTTAAAAAATACCAAAAATAAATGAAAAACACCTTGAACTTTGATTTATGAGCCTTCGGCATATGAAACAAAACTCTATTTTAGATGCTGTGAATCGCTACAATTTGATTGATAACTTGGAAGCTATATCATAATCCATTCTTAAATGGCAAAATACCGATATTCACTCCCTAAATCATGTTTGGGGTCCGCGGTCGCTCAGGGGTCCGCGAAGCGATTTTAGGGGAACCGCGAGACAATTTTAACCTCGCACTTTGATTTGAAGTTTGATTTGAAGTAAAATTTTGATGTCATGCTTTTACAGTGTTTATCCAAAGCACGACACGCTCTACCGAAGGCATTATTACGTAACCAACGTTCTTGAACGTGGCAAGTACCGTAAATCAGAGCGTACTGTTTATGGAAGGCGTGTGCAAATGATTGTAAATTTTCTCGCGATAATTTAAAAATGCCCCCCCCCCTCCCTGCCGTAAAAAATAAATTTAGATATAAAGATTGGTGTGTAAAACTTGGTTTTGCTTTGATGAGTTCTGGAAGAAAGAAAAACCACATTGGCACCGTTCTATCACGATGTCGGTAAAATGGCACTAAACATGCTCATTCCATTTGCAACAACTTACGAACGTGCAGTAGCTTTTCCTACGTTACTCGGTATTATAACAAAATGTTGAAACAGAATGGACGTGAGACACGATATGAGAGTTGCATTATCCAAAACAGAACCCAAGGTAGAATAACTAGTGAGGGCCAAGAAGGTGAGCCTATCTCATTAAACTATTTTAATGTCATTCAATAGATGAATGCTTGATATAGCGCATTCCTATTTGCCTTCTTTTTTTTAGTGGACCGCGAGTCACCAGAAAAATTGCAAGCTGACCGTTATGCAAAAATTTTCAAAAAGTTTGAGGCAGGCACATTATTTTAGCAGTGTGCATCAGTTCAATTTGGCAAACTTCTCATTAGACTTGCCATGTTTTACATTCACTTACATATGATGAGAAATAAAGTGATCCAAACACCCTCAGTTAATTAGGTTTGAACGATATTCGAAATGTGTTTTCAGTGTTAATCTAGGATAGTTTAGTATTTGGGCACGGACATACCTATCATTGACATTTCTCTTTATTATTAAGCACTTTGCAATGGATGCATTTCGTGCAAAGCAAATAGTAATCGCACTTCATATAACTATATCTCAAATTTTGATTGCAATTACAAATGAACCACCAGTGGTTACCATGAAGACGATAAACGTCACAGAGGGTACCGGTAACTTTGGTCGGATGATAAGTAAGGCGGAGTGAAAGTAGCTTGGTTCGTATTCAGAATTACGGTAACATACAGAACGGTTTTTATAACACAATATTTACTCAATTGAAAATTGTGAAAATGCATATGTATTTGTACATAGGCTATGTTGAAGTACCGTAGTAAGATAGGATGTGTACTGGTATAAATATTGGACTAGGGATACATTACAGACAGTCTTTAATGCTCGTGAGAAAATCAATAAATTATGGATCGTTGAATATTCTTTACAATATGGACTATTTAGCCCACTTTGACATAATACAATAAAACTGTTCATTTGGTTCTTTGTTTATTCTGAATTTTTGATTGCGGAGAATAATGCCTTTCGTACAAATGAAACACTTAGAGAGTTTGTCTTTAGTCAGAAACGTATGAATATGCGCTAATCGTTACCATATGTTACTGTCGAAATTGATATACGGTACTTTCTTAGTATCAAACTTTGTCGGTGTGGATGACCTAGCGGTTAGGAATAACAAAAATAATTAATTCAAAATGTTGATTTCATAATTTCATGGGCTCAACTATGTTGGCGTAGCAAGTTAGAAATCCAAATTTCCCGAAACATTACAGCTCTCAAAATGGTGCTCCCGTAGTATTCTTATCGAATGGCGCACAACCTGCTAACCCTGACCTGGTACTGATGTTCAAGTTGTGTGCCGTCTTGGTACACATACTTTGGGACCATCCTCAAAATAGTTGAAATTTATTTGTGATATACGTTACATTATCACGGCCTCTGGATTTTCTCTTCAAATAGTTTAGGATTTTGTTTTCAGATAATGAAATTCATCGTTTGCGACGAATTCATGTGTTTATCCGCTATCTTTTGATATATTTCTCGATGTATTTTGATTGCTTCTTCTTACACGACGGGTTGTATGCTCATGGTGAAGGTTCAATTGCGCACAATGATGCCTAGCAAACTAATGCGATGCCTTGTGAATTTCTGACAGTCAGAATTTCGTAAATAAGTGTGAGGTTATCGCAACGATACGTAACTATAAAATCGCTATAGATGGGCGTAGTTTGGGTTTTACATTGTTATTTTGTAACTAAGATACCTGTGACGGGAATTCTGTAAAGACCACAATAGAGATTTCCATAGGACACCTATTTAAACCTTTCTCTACGAACAAAGCCATGTATAAGCAGCCAATGATATCTAACGATATTTAAAGGCAACTATTTTAGGAAGAAACGGGATTTTTCCAATTCGGCTTTGTCTGCGCATTTTTCACCCTGTTTGAGATAATAAAAACTGGATTTAAACCAGAGATGTGTAACCTGCGTTGGCAACACAGTTTAGTTCCACCACTTCAACTGCTATTCTATCGCGCTTACTTACAATCAAGGGCGGACACCTTGCAGAGTCCGAGTATAATTTGATGGTAATGATCATCGACTTTACTACATCGTAACGTTTATTTTTCGCGAAAGACATCGAAACACTGATTAAAATAAGATTTTCAGACCACAGAAATGACCTAAAATACAACTGTTTTAGTGCTCATGATGTAAAATGATCGCCGACTCCACCACGCATTTAATTGAGGGCAATTTAATAAAGGTCCTAATTAGTTGCATCAAGAGCTACAACGACCATGCGTTTCACCGGAATACCGGCGTATTTAAAGATCGCTAGGGTGGGAAAAAACAAATATTTTACAACCCAAATAATTCAAATATTTCTATCGATTACCGAATATTTTAAATATATAACAAGAGTCCAAAACGTTAGCCATCCTAATGTTTGTAAGCTAGCTTTCCGTCCGTTTTCTTTTTCTTACACAAGTACTAATTCTTACGCAACGGCGGATGTCGAAGTTTGGTTTTTATATTTCTGGCAGAATAAGAGTCCACATCGGTGACGTATGTTTAAGACAATTATTATGAAGGGAATTCAGAACTCAACTACTTTTATTCTGATTTTTATGTTTTGCGTTTGTTCGATCTTATTATCAGCGTTTGTGAACTAACCGTCCGAATTTTAAAAAGGTTAACAATATTATCTTCACTGGCTCAGGAATGCGGATATTCATGAAGACGATAGTTTACTTTTTTTTATCTTGTCTGTGCTATTTTTGCATCGAATAAAAACTATGCAAAGTCGGCATCGCGTGAATCGTGAATGCTATTTTGAGTCAAAATGCCGGCCAGAATAATATTTCTACCCCTAAATTTGGCGAAAAATGCATAGAATATGTTATTTTCTTCTTTGATAATCCTCTGTCTAGGAAACGGCGTCGGCGCGCTTGATGCAAAATTAATATTGAAATGATGGCCAAATAAGACTCCTCAAATTTGACGTTTCTGTACGCCAGCAAGAGCAGTAGGTTATTCTGTCGAAATTCAAGGGGACGTTTCCAAGCAAAGGGGTATAGGTCCCGTGGTACCGGATATTTGAACAGTAAAATTGTAAGAGAATGACAGAAGAATATTGTGACGTAACAATGTATCAACACGACACCATGATTCTTGGTTGACAATGCAAGTTCGGTCCCCAAATTATGGGAAGTGTCCGCCCCTGCTTACAATTGGTGAATAAAAAACTCATCAGTATAAGACGAAAATAAATAATCGAGATCAATCTCAATTTCACCTTGGCACCACGAGTATTGTTTTTGAATCCTTCCATTGCTTCAGCTGTCAGTTCGCAATCGCTCATGTTAACATCTTCCACTTCACATTGTAAAACGACAGATGCGAGCTGAGAAACACCTTGCACTCCCAAGGATTGGTTTCCCCGGACGTTGATATTCTTCAACTGAATATAAATAGGTTTGGAAAATTATAAACGGTTTTGCAGCGATTATAAGGTAGTTGATAGAATATATGTTTCGGAAAAAGAGATAATAACTCAATTTTATAAATTGATTTAAATAAACAATTCGAATGGCAATCATCCTGGTTTTTGTTCTAAGTAAGTAAGCGCAATCCTAAAATCGAAATGTCACGGGGTAAAATAAATCTTTCTTATGTTGAGTGGGCAACAATTTAACAAAAATCATTCCAAAATAAGACAATTGTCAAAATGAAGTTTTTATTTTCGATAATCATGACATTATATCGGTCTCTTGTATTTTGCTTTGACATCTTCAATCTGTAATCGGAAAATATGTCATCTTCTTAGAAATAAGAAGTCAAATGCATATCAGTTGTTGCTGGATAAGAGCCTTGGTTTGGAAATTTTTTATGACGTAAAAAGTCGTAAATGAACGTTTGGTGTGAAAATGTTGATAATTTCTTGAAGTCAGGGGTGCTGTGGTTCTGTTTGATCATGATACGACAAGAAAAATTATGATCGAAAAAAAATAAATCGATTATTCATCTAATCATATTGCCGATAGTTTTAGCTCTCACAAGCAAAGCAACCCAGCTTTAAAAAATCACGCGAGTTTTACAAATCGGGTTCAAATCCCACGCCCACCATCTCACCTAAGGTGTGACGAATTGGGTAGAGTTTGTCTTTAGTCAGAAACGTATAAATATGCGCCAATCGTTACGATATGTTACCTTAGAAAAAATATTATATGTGCGTCCTTTAGTGTCACCTCGCGGAATAGAACTCCAGCAAACGCTTTTAAAAAGGCATGAGGGTCGTTTTAGGGGTTAAATGGTTGACGATATTGAAAAAGAGACCATACGAAATGGCCCCAGGATAATAGGCTAGACAGGGTTTTAACCATCACAAGTTTCACAAATCGAGTTCAAAATCCCATGACCACCATCTCACCAAGGGTGTAACGAATTGGGTAGATTCTTGTTTTTCTAAAAATAGTATCTTCTTACCTACTGTTGGATGTCAGTGGCCGCTTGTACAGAGCCTTGTTAGAAGCAAAGGACACGAGTATGCGTCATATAAAAACAACTGAGGCACTATAAAATATTTTACCGTAGCCAGGGTGATATGAATATGCCAGTGGTTATCATGCTACTGCTGATAAAAATATAAAGGCATGACAATTATTAAAATGAAGTTATGAAGTCACTGTTGCAAATAAATTACGATATTTTTTTTATCTCATGAATATATATTTAAAACTTAGTGACCAGGGATGTTCTTATCGTTTTCGTATAGCATTATATTCGATGTAGCATTATGTGAGTATTCCTCAATTTTGGTTAATCGTAATTTTTGAAGTGCGCATAACATGCGAAGACGCAAATATTTCTGTTCCCCGCGTAGTTCGAAATCGGTATTTCACATGCAACAGCTTCTGAAACAGGCGTCGCGATCACGCCATTGCCGACATTTGAGTAATGCCAACATTCAAAATGTATTTCTATAATTGTGTTTATCTTAAGTCGTGGTTGAGTCCACTTATAAAATAAGGGCACATTACTTCAATTACTCAATTATACTTCAATTATTCATCTCATATATCATCATATTCCAGGTCGAGTGCGGTCCCCTGCATACGAAAAAACTTGTACCACGGCCCGCGGGAACGTCAATAATTAATTTTTATCGCTCGGAACTGTGCGTGAAAACGCACTATTATGCTATCATTGGCGACGTAACGGTAATTAAAGGAGTGAGTCTGAAACTCACATTTCCGACTGAAAATGATGGAAAAAATGTTACGATTGAAAAAAAATTAAAAAAAATACCAAAAATAAACAAAGAACACCATAAACTTTGATGAGCCTTCGGTAGGTGAAACAAAACTCTAATTTAAACGCTTTTAATCACTATAATTTGATTGATAACTTGAAAGCTATATCATGGTCCATTCTTAAACGGCAAAATATCTATATTCGTTTCTTGAATCATCATCTCACGAAGAAGGAAACAATCGTCGATGCTAAATAAATTAGCTTGTAAAATCGCAGGCCTCTGTTAACGACTTTTTCGATCTAATAAAAATTTAAATAAGGGGAGGTGGAGATGATCAGGATGATACACATTAATTCAGCAATGTGTCAGGAAGCTATATTATAGTTCATTCACCCTACCCAGCCGGTCGGGCAAGTGCCATTTTACATGGGTTATTTTTTGTCAGCCCTAAAGTTTCACTCATGGCTTTTTAATAGCGTGTGATAGAGCTCTATTCAGAAATATATGTAAAACGCACTCCTCTGGAAAAAATATTTTTTACGCCAAAATTCCAAAATTTATATTGAACTTGCGAGATTTTGTGTCTAGTAGAAGGTTAATAATTATTCCTAATAAATGAATTTTATTCAACGTTTCTTAGTGTTATTTTCCAACAGATTAACACCAAAATCACTATTATAGCAAGAATGGTTACTCTAAAATTCACGATTGTATTTAAGGATTTTCCAGTTAAAGGTTCTAATTGACAATTTTGATGACTCACACCTCTATATATTAGTGCACACGCCCCCCTCAATGCAAAAATGTTACTTTTTTTGACGGAAATGCGCGTAGAAAGACGTAAACATTCTTATGCGCGCCGCTGTACGTGAAAATTACCAATAATTTTACGTTTTTTACACGTTTAAAAAATCTCGTTGCAGTCGAAATCATGTTTATCAAAACATCACAGCGCCAGGGATGGTTTGTATGACTGATAATACATGCTAAACCAATAATAAGTCATTATAAAGGAGTTAATGTTATTGATTTCCTGTCGTCGTCGCGTCAACAATTTCACACATACGACAGGCGATTTTGAAATCCACGCTATTTATACGATTCGCACTTTGCGTCACGACTGGAGTCTCTTTTTTCGTGAAATATACGACTCTACTATAGAACATTGACTGTAAAACACCATTAATACTTCTTAGAGTTGGACTAAGCCAAATAATACTGAGTATATGCCATCCGACGATGTTGAGTGATTATTGAGTTTGTACGGAGTCCTGCCTGCAAACAGTAGAATACCGATGTTCACTCCCTAAATCGAGGGTCTCCAACTCAAACCATGTCGCGGGCCATTTTTCGGAATTTATTGACCACGCGGGCCGCAAACCAAGAAGTTAGGTACAAAAATGAATATCTAAATGTATCGTGTTAAAATTACACTTGAATCGTACAACAAACGATACATAAAAACATATGCATTTACTTGTGCTGGATATTTGGTTCCGATTTATGGCCTTATTTTGCGTTGTTTTGCTAGTCTTGAGACAGCATGCAAATGCTCGTCCAATAGTCGTGTGCGGAGGGCTGACTTGCTAACTTTCATAATTGAAAAATTACTTGCAAATATAAGAACTGCCAAACATTCCAGGTATGCAACGTGGATGTGCAATTAGCTTTGCAAACTTTTCTTCGGGCACAATGGACTGACCGAAACTCGTTTATTTCGTCACGATGACCATGAGTAATGAATTTAATGTATTTATAATAGGGATAGGCCGAATTTCGGACCCGGACTCGAGTCGAATCCACGCATTTTTTGAACTCGGATTTGATTTCGAGTCCACGTCATTTTCACCGAGACTATAATCATTTCTGTTTTCACTAATTTACGCCTATTTTTTGTACTTTTATCCTCTATAAATCTCAGTACATACCCTTAAGGTTAGATCTGTAACAATATACCTCGTGTGTATTATAAACACTCCTAATAAAAACGACCACAGATATCCAGATAATAGAACGCATGTTGAAAACTATTGATCGCTTATAACACTGATATCGCCGCCAGTCGTTTTCAAACTATCCATCTTTTTTGGTATACATGTGAACAATTAAATATGTGTTGGCGCAATATTTTTGTGTTTTCGATTCGCGTAAAAATGAAACATGCTTTGGATCAACCCAAGGGGGGATCTTTCTTTTAAATCGAGTTTGTTACGTGCAATCTTTTCCCTAAAAAGGAAGCAATGGAAAATGTGGAGAATTTGGGAATTTTTACATGCGCTACTAAATTGCAAGCAGATGTTCCAAATTGTATTGATGAGTGGCATCTACCATTTGCGCACGCAACATAGTAAGTTTGCGGCTAGAAGTATCTGGAATTATAGGGAAGCATTGTAGTCAAAAGCTTTTTTTTTCATATTGACATGTAAGAATTTTGAAGTAGCCGCCTAGAATTAACGGTAGGTGGTGGGCTGGAAATGCAGTCCAAAACCAAGGCGCACAATGACCCACGTTTACGTTTGTATTATGGCCGCCAAATAGAAAGAAAAAAAAATATTTCTACATGATTCAACAGCTACCTGCGGAATCATTAGTCAAAAAATATGAGCTACGACGTATGTTTGAGAGCGCACGTTGCTGTAGCATGGTCAAAAACGTGTTTTTCTGCTTTTCCATTGTGACGTCACGGACTCGGAGGATTCGATTCGAGTCCTCGACCTATTACTCGGATTCGTCGAATCTCTGTAATGCCAGACTCGTCCCATCCCTAATTTATAATTGAAATATAACCATAGAATAAAACATGAACGTGGTAAAGTGGAATAACAGGGCAAAATTGTTTTGCCTCACTTTTTACAGTTTGTCGGACCGTCCTCTTGATAATAAATGACACGATAAAACTTATTAGTAAATGACATCGTACTATTTTAGTTTTTTGTGGGAAAATCCCAACCATGACGCGGGCCACATGCGGGCCATACATATGGTGCAAAATAAAGTTATTAAAACACCCACGCAGTATAACTTTGGCTCAGTTAATTATGTTTGAACGATATTCGAAATGTGTTTTCAGTGCCATTCTAGAATAATTTAGTACTCGAGCACGGACATACCTAAATAAATATCATTGACATTTCCCTTCATTGAACCGATCGGTTTTTCTTGTACAACTGGTTCTTATATTAATATTATTTTTGTATATCCTGAGC